AAATTCTCACTTGAATTAGTTGTCTGCACCCCTAAGGGCCAATTTGATCAGCAAGCACAAGTGGTAAGTATACCGGTAGAGGGAACCATCCACATGACACTAACTGTATGAGAAATCACAGACCATGTATGCTGTGAGAGTTGCGGGGCCAGTGGCAAAATTGATGTGAGTTATGATGATGATGATGGGGTACAATGATGGATACACAAGCAGGTGGGGCCATTAGGATCCAGAAGAGGGCAGAGCTACAAGGACCTTCTAACAAGGGTACTGTTCCTGGGTAGAGTTATGTGGTCAAGAGTGGACAGAGTGTAGGATTAGGTACGTTACTGTCATGACTATACATGTATGCAACCATCTATTATGTACACATGTACACTGTACATGTCCTTCAGGAAGAACTGCAACTACAGGTACATGTAGAACGCACGTTCCATCCCCACTGTGTGTGCCTTCAACCACTACTACTTTTTTTGAGGTCGTGGTGCCATGTGATTTTTAATCCAGTTTGGATCTTGGAATCCATTGCTGGATTACCTTTCTTAAATAATCACCAAAATAGCAGCCTCAGCTACATGTATATGTAATCAATATCTCTTGAAAACTTTGTGCATGCGATGGTTTGGACCTTTGGGATGACTTTTTTAAATATGAAAGCTTTTACTCCCCAACCTTGCACTTTTGAAACGATGATACATGTGCACGTAACTACACCTTTCACTTGTGCTGCAACACTGGGCATGTGTCAGTTCAGTGGCTGACCTGCTCAACCATTTCCGGAGGTAGGTACATGTACATGTAGATGTTTTTTTCTAAACTGTGTGCACAGTTGTATGGTGTTTTCAGCAGGAAGAGCTCTGTACACAGAAAGAAATCCGGCAAGGGGTATGAATTCCCAAAGTGGGTGCAAAACAGAATTTCCAATAGAAAATTGTAGACCTCAGATGGGCCAGCCGAACTGTAGTAGGGACAGTTTTACAAGTGTTGTAGGCTGCGTCTGAATCACTTGGCTGTGGCTTGAAATTGCACACAACTTTATGGGAACTGGCTATGGACACAACCATAGACTTGTGTGTAATTTCTAGCCGCAGCCAAGTAATTCAGACATGGCCTTATCCACTCGCTACATGTATTTAAAGTAAAGTATATTTACATGTACATGTATGCTGTAGACCCATGTACATGTGCTTTACATGTGTATCTCATAAAGCCATCGGTTACTGTGAAATCCCTCGACCTAGGTTTTACCCAAGTGTAACATACATGTACAGTACATGTACATAAGTACAGCGGATGCCATGTCTATCACCAGGGCCCATGTTTATAATTCACTTCAGTATTGTTCGGCTTCACTGTGAGGTACAAAATGTCACAAAAGTCTTGTTTAACACAAAGACCTCAAGTGTAGCTGATGAAGCGCTGTGGACCTTGTCTGTGCATCAAGACGATTGGAAGAATTTCAATGCCAAACAATAGTGAGGACATGTAAAGTTGACAGGATTTTGGCATTTTGTTTTCTGCATTCAGAGGACGTCCCTGAGATGGGCTGATCATTTTGTGGCGGTCACGTCACTTCGGCTGAGCAAATGAAATTGCATGTTGCCATGGACATTGGCGAGAACTGTCCAGCCTGCCAGTGGCACACTGATGGAGAGACCAGCACAGGGGACCAGCTGCGGAGATACGTGATGGAGGCCTCCAGAGGATCACCCGTGTTTCAGAGGCTTGAGGCAGACTTGAAGGAATGCAGAAAATGCATGGGAGCATACCATAAAGCCCGGGAACAGCTCATACAAGAAGAGGGCCATTTTGATCTAGTAAGTATTAACCTTAGCCCTGCTAAACCCAAGGATATCCAACAGAGGTCACTGTCTATGGGATTTTGTTGATGTGAGCAGTGAATGAACAGCTTTTTGTTCTGTCAGGTTCAGCATGGTACCAAGACTAAACTTAAGGGGGTTAGGGTAAAAGAGATCGAATACCAAAGCTGTAAAAATGGGCAAATGAGTCTATTAAGTTGACCACTTCCTGCTGGGGATTCCAGATCCAGACATGTATGCTTTAGATGCGTGGCCGGGTTCTCGAAACTCAGACAAGGGAACAGGGCCTTGCAACAAAAGACCGTACTTGGAACAAAAGACCAGGCTGCTGGGCATTACCGATGTATTTTCAAAAGGGGAGATAATCTAGCCTTGTTTTGAAACAGTATACCACGGTTTGGGGCATTTAGAGTGAGCGGATTGCCACCGGGGACAAAAGCGCTCTACCACTGCAGCGATGAGCCACACAGCACCGCTGCATGCTAATCTGGCCCCTATTGAAAAGAGGTCAGCAGTGCACTGAGCCAGGTTCGTGAACAAAAGAAAGTTATAAACACCGCGCAATCTGGGCTCTTTTTACAAGGCTGCAGGCCTGGCTGAAATACTCGGGCGTCAGTAGATTTTGTCTGTCAGGCTAGAGGGGCCACCAGACAGTCCTTCACGTGTTTGTAAGTGTCCAGTAAATGAAGATAGATTTTTTAAAAGAATTTTGAATACAGAAAAAAAATTATAAATATTCCGGCCCAGCATCATCAACATTGATAACTGCCCCGGCAGGAAGTGGTTAATAGCTTCTTGTATGCATCCGATAACTGAGTAGGGAATTGAAATTCTATAAGTTCAGAAGGCTTTTTGTTCCGTGCAACTGTTCCTTGGATCAGTTGATTTCCTCTTTTATCACTTCACATTCATGCCACCGAGAATTGAAAAACACTGCACAAAGTCTCTCTTGTAAAGATAGGAATTTCCTCATTTGTTGTCTATGCCTAGCTATTATTACCCCCCTGCTCACCATGCCTATAAAGGATTCCCATTTGACTTATGCTCAGAAATTGTTTCAGCTGGAAGAAAGGCGGTTAACTGAGACCTTCAGGCGTGATACAGAAGAACAAGACATCTTGGTACCCATCACTGAGGTGTTGTGGCACCCATATCTTCTTTTCCATCCCGAACTAGGTAAGGTACCAAGGGTTGTGTACATATATTTCAGCTGGAAATTATCTGAATTTAGAATGGTTTGAGGACAGATCGTCACTGTGATCTCCAAGAAGTATTGGAAGGTAGCAAAATAGTAATGGGTGCAAAGGTAGGGAACTTACTGGGGTGAATTCGCTTACGAACAACGCTGTAAAACTTGAAGAAGGGAATAACTGCAAATTCTTGAAATAATACGGCTTTGTTGGAATTGTTTATGACAACAGAGGCAGTGTTCTGCAGGAGGCTCTTGAAACTAGACAAAGATGTTGGCTTGGAAGGATTTCTGACGGAGTGTCTCCCTACAATGTACCTTCTTTTGATACATCGAAATGAAGAGGTGCATTTTTGACGTTCTATCCCCTCTGTCATGTGCACTCAACAAGAAACCCTGTAGAGGCTCCATACCAAAGTCATTTGCACTCTAACATTTGCAATATGTAGTCTGTGGTATGTCCAGACTGTATTTTGTGGTAACGTATGGGTCATGCCAACATTAAACCTTCTGTACACTAACAAAAATATATCTGGAGATCTGCTTCTTTTTGCGTGTTTGGAATATACATGTACTCCAAGGTACACATCAACTGGAGCATTAGCAACAAGTACGATGAAACCCTCTTTGTTAATTTGTGTGCTGTTGATCAAATGCACAAATTAGCAGAGCAGATTTTATTCCACGTGATATTTGTCAAGTTTAACCACTTTGCGCCGGGCTCATTTATCCATGTTGATTCTGCTTGGCTGGGTGATTTTTAATTTTTTCTGTTTTCGAAATTTTAAAAGAAATTCATAATTCCATTTTGTGAACATTTACACCCACACGAATGACTGTCTGGTGGCTACTCTAATCTGACAGACAACATCTATTGATGCCTGAGTATTTCAGCCAGGCCTGCTGCCTTATAAAAAGAGCCCAGATTTTGTGATGTTATGTAAGTTTCTTTTGTTCCTGAAACCAGCACAGTGCACTACTAGCCAGATTATCATGTAGCGATATTGTATCGCTCATAACTGGAGCACTGGAGCACTTTTGGTGGTAATCTGCTCGTGCTGAAGGCCACAAAAAGTGGTATAATCTTTCAAAACAATGACAGATTTCCTCCGCTATTGACAATTGAAAAAATGTTGGAAATTCCCAGCAGCTTGGTCTTTTGTTCCGAGTACGGTCTTTTGTTACAAGGTCCAGCTCCTGTACGATTTCGGGCAGCCCGGCATTAGGTATAAAGAACCCGAAACCGGGCTCCCCGGCACGAAGTGGTTAAAGACATTTGAGTGTAATCCAAACGTATTAAAAGTAGGCTGCAACTAATGTGTTTTGTTAGTATAAGGAAGATCGTAGGACTGTGATGTCCTTTACAGCATCAACTTTCCATCGATCATCCATCATTTTAAGTTTACTTTATCCTAGAAAGTTTGGATTTTAGGGGTGTTATTGAGGTAACTTTCTGAGGGAAATAATAAAAGTACATGTATGTTTTGTTTACAGTGATAAAAACCAAATGATTTGAAATATTTGAGCTATTACTTTCAGGGGTTGTCATTTCTGTCTTTTTTATAGTGGAATCTTTGTCAGTCTCAAACAGTCATCCATAGACCCAATTGTAGCTCAGGTTGGTGGCCTTTGGCCATTGATCACTGTCAAGCCTGTTGATGCATGGCCGTATGAAGTCTTCCTGTTCCTCTATCCTTGGTTGTCTAGGTTCGTGAACTTGCCTGGCGGTGCCTTCAAAATCCAGACTACCGTATCACTTGCGATAACTATGAGGACACAAATATGGGCCAGGCGTTTCGCTGGGTTATGTTGTCGGCAGAGGCCATAGAACCACTGACACCATCACCTCAGAAGACTCTGGCAATCTTCCATTCACCAAGCCAGGTCAAGGAACTGCCACCTCACTTCTTGTGCACCAAGCTTCATGCTTACTGGCAGGGTATGTAAGGCCGTGTCCAAATTCATGAGGTGTAAATGCAGTAGTGAAAGGAATATACTGATAACAAATCTCTGTGATAATCATGAAAGGTTATGTGACTTTCCTTTGTCCTATTCATTTCCTCCCCCCAGGCGTTGCCCGTTTGCTCTCCATTTTCAGTGTTGAGGCTCTCAAGCATTGCTTCACAAACTCCCCAGACTTCAAGAAGTTGATCCCTACAATGATAGATCATTTCTCTACCAAGACCGACGGTTTGTTGCCAATCGACAGATCTTATGCCTCCCTAGGATAAACAGAGAAATTAAAAAAAAAGTAGTCTGAAAAGTTAAAGACAAGCCATGAGAAATAGGTTTGCGGGTACACCATGAAATCAATCTCTTTTGGGCGAGGTGTGATTCTTAAAAGAACCAGTGAGTGTCCTGAGGACGGCCAGAGCACACTGGCTGAAACGTTGAGTTGACTCTCACCAGTTCTTTAAGAACCACACCTCACCCAAAAGAGAATGATTCCATGGTGTACCCGCAGACCTATTTCTCATGTCTCTTCCACCATGCAAAGCTTCAAATCTTACTTAAAGATAAGCCCCAAAATAAAAGAAACATGAACGAGATTTTCATTTACCTTATGCATGGATAAGACTTAGCTTTAAAAGAAGAAGGACTAAATTAAATGCAGTCCTTTCGAATAAAAAGTGGCCCATCCTTTGGCATTTGTTTATATGTCAAGTAATCTTTAAAAGAGAGCAACACTTCTAAATCAAGCTGAACTCAAGATAAAGGCTTTATTCATGACATACAGGTTCACAGGGTTTTAACAAAAAATATGGAAACTTGGTTTGGCCTTTCTTTTCAGAACCATTTTCCTTCTTGACTATACATGTACAGTACATCATTGCAAACTTTTTAGGAATCCAAAGAATGAAGTTCCTAGCATTTAGCCCCACATTCTTTTCATGATTTCACACTACTCAGAAAAGAGAGTATTCTTGCCTTGAATAACCACAAACCCCTATCAACTTTGCATTGTCCCCGAAGTACTGCTGTATTTCCTGCATGGGGCATTCATAAAATAACCATTTAAATATACTTCCCTTTTTTCACCCAGATAAAACATCAGGCTGCCAGTCTTCTTTCTGGCCTCTGCTACAGTGTCTGGCATTCCTAATGGATAAAGTCGGCAGGGTTGTGTGGCAGGATGTACCTGAGGCAACGGTCAAGGGCATTTTTGACACTGCCAAAAACACTATCATATCAGCCATTGAAAACATGATCAAGAGGTTTGTTGTGACCAAAAACCTGTTCTTTTTAATCTGCAGCAGTATTATTATTAATTATTATTATCTGTCATTTCTGGTAATGACACCAAGGATTCTTCAAACGCATCTTAGGCACTGTAGCTAGCTTCTTGACTTAAAATATCACAAGAAAACAAAGTGGTAGACAGGAATAGATGGTTTATTATAAGAGATAATCCAATTTAATTTCTGCTTTGATATTGTGCCAGCCGTAACACGCATTGAACCAGCTCTGAGCTTAAGTTGCACATCCCTGGGTAAATGGTCTGTGGTTAATGACGAGAGGGTTTTTTTTTTACATTCTTGCTATAAATGACAAAGTCTGTCAGTTGTAACAATTCTGCTGATCCCTGTCGCTGTGAAGTCAAGATTTAGCTGAATGATATGCCAATGAAGAGACATAAAGCTTTTTCCATTAAACAGTGCAGTTTTTATTCTTCGGATCTTGTGGTGGCTGGCAGCGTCAGGCTCTGATGCAGTTTAGCTTTGGCAATGCTTGTAGCTAACCTGTTGAATCTGTTGCACTGGACAGCCTTCTTTTTCGCCATTGTGCCGGTCAGGGTTTTCTTGGCAAAATAACCACAAGTGAGTAGGTTTGGGGAAGAATTACACATTGTGTGCAACTATATGTATATGTTCCATATTTCAATGCAGTGGCACTGAGCAGGTTCCCACCGCCCCTGGGATGTCTGTCGGTCCATCGGAACCCTTCCTCTGGATGACGCTCTATGTCAACTCACTCATGGATTTTGGCATATCAGTTTCTGACAGTGTCCCAGCCAAAGTAACCAACTTCCTATGCATCCAACTAGAGGATCTACTGCGTCTTGGCTGCCATGGAGACAGCCTGAAAAGAAGCAGGATTGACTCACTGATTGCAAAGTTCATGCAAGCTCTGGTCAATGTCCTACAGAGCCTTTTGAAGAGGTCCCTCCTTGGTGACCTTGTCAGAGAGGTCAAGGCAAGCATGTGGCTCAGGATCTGCCTGGCCTTCCTTCAAAAATACCCACCTGTAAGGGGTCAGCAAGATCTCTCCTTTGCCATCACTGTGTCCAACAGCATTCGCCAATTCCTGCTTGATGTCTTCAAGCTGGCGCAAAAGAACAAGCTGAGTGTTGGTCAATCCGTGAAGTACATTAAGATGCTTGGACTGCCACTGCTGCTGACTTCATCAGCAAGGTGCAACATACAGGAACCTCCCATCAGCTTGCAAGAAAATCTGTGCGAGATGACACAGGGAAAAGGATTTACGGATTGTGTCAAATTTGTGGAAGAAACTCTCAAGCAGCATTCATCGTTGAGTTCTATAGGCATTTACCAGAGTTTGTCAGTTCGAGAAAGTGATACAGCATGTGTCCCTGGCCCATCCACCAGGTCACCAGTTAGTTGCTTCAGGAAAAACTCTCACAAATTAAAACTAAGAGGCCCACTGTCGTTCACCTCTAACACAATGCAAGATAAGAATGTTCTTGAGAGGAATGATTTCAGCGATAATGAAGCCAGCACAAGCCCAAAACATGCATCTAGACCACACGAAGAGGCTGTGCATCCCCTACCGACCAGCCCCAAATGGGTGCTCCCTGTCCCAACTAAATCGGTGATTAAGAGTGAGCCTGGCCACCCGCAGCTGTCTTCCGGCAGTGCTCCCTCGATGCACCAACCTGGAAGCACTGCCAAACCAAATAGATCCTCCCAGAAATCCAGTGATGTGGTCATCTCCATCTCAGATGACTCATCGGACGAAGCCTTCTGTCAGTCGCCAACAGCAGGCCAGGAATTCTGTGATGATGCACTCATGCAGGACTCAGAGGAGATTTACGAAATACTGTCTCATACCTCTCAGAGTGAGGACAGCCAAAATGAACCTGCAGGTACTGGTACCTATTGAGAATATTTGAATTTACTTTCAATGCTTGCTGCAAATTCCATTGGATTATGTATACCTTGTGAAATAGGGTCATTTCACAGTAGTGCGCCCCCAAGAGTTTGCAACACGTTGACCAATCAAAGTGCGTGAAATGTCGATCCAATGCATGTTTAGAAAGGGTCGACAGATTTTCATGCCCTGTGATTGGTCAGCACATTGCAAACTCTTGGAGGCGCACTTTTGTGAATCTCCCATATTGTGCTCAGAATTCTCTGCTTCAAGCATGTCAACTTCTTTATGAAAACAACTGCAGTGATTGGGTACCAATAACTTGCTTACATTCAGTACAAATGATGACTTTACGTGTACATATGGTATCTAGACACAAACTTCCGTTAACAGGGCTTTGTTGTGCACAGAATGTATTCTTGCCTTCTTTAAAGCTCAAAACCACATGGATATCAGAATGCTACTCCAACTTTAGGTCCGTAAATACCAATAGTGTTATTTCACATATGGTACTGTACGTGAAAATGAGTCCAGCTTTTAAAATGCTCTGTCATGAATGGCATTTGCCAGACATGCATGATATGCATGCAAGATTTGCAGTTTATAAACTGTAAATGTACTGTTACAAGGACATTTTTTTCTGTATTTTCATCAGATAATTTTTCACTTGATGTCCCAAATGCTCGGAAAGAACAGTGGCAGCCATCTGTGAAGATTGAATTGATTCCAGAACTTACAGGTATATTTTGTGTATGCTACCTTACTTCATCCTAACAGCAAGATGAAATGGCCGTACTTTTCAAAAACTCACGTCTACACTCTTCTTATATTAGTTAATCTACATGTACAAAGGACACACCTCCAGATTCTGCAGCCAGAATGTTTCAGGTTATGTCACTCACCTTCAGGTTTTGCATCCAGAATGTGTGTACTGTATCCCAGGTTATGTCACACACCATTAGGTCCTCCTCCCAGGATATCCCTGGTTGCTTTGTAATAGTCATACGCCTTTCAGATCAGACGTACTGGGATATCCCAGATTATATCACACAGATTCAGATCCTGCTTACAGAATTTCCCAGGTACCATACTCGAATATCATTAGGTCATCACTTTGATATGTTGCGCATGGGATGCTTAAGCATCCAACTCATTCAGATCCCAGAAGCAGGATCTGCCACTCAAAAAACACAACCATTACATTCCATAAAGCTAATTAGATTAGATATCCTTGGTTCTTTGGCAGATTTTTTGACCGTTTCAAACATTTGAATTTATCAGAAGACCGAATGCCGTTCTATTTTTGAGTGCAGAACTATGCTTGCTTTCTAGATATCTCAGAAGATGGACGTCAATTTATCGTGACTTCTATGGATCCAGTGATCATAAAAAACGCTACACCACAAAAAACAGGAATCAAGAGGGAGCGTGTCTCTTCTGACGACAGTGAGAGCTCTCTTTCCAACTCTGACATCAGGAGGGACGCACACCTTAAGGCCAAGAAAAATTGCCGTCGCCGATTGACAGAGCTAGAGAGTTCAAGTGATGATGACACTGGTAGGCCACCATCATCCAGCCCTAGTACCAGCCAAAGCTGGCTTTGGCCGAGTTCACCATCTGGCTCATCCCTCAGCCGTCCATTTAAGAGTTCACCCAAATACCCCAGGAACAGATTGTCGAGATCAAGACGGCTGAACACATCAATGTGTTCTATTGTTAAAAATGAAAGGCACACAGATGCCTACGTTCCCGAAAGAGAGGAATACCAACCCCTTGTAAAGAAGGAATTGCTGTCTGATGATGGGGATATCGCTTCTGCTGTAGGGACCTCCAAAGCTGCTCAGTATCAGGTGGAAATCAAAGAAGAAGGAGTGAAGAAGGATGGGAAGGGAAAGTTGTTATCTCATGAAAAAAGCACCAAGAGCCGTAATCGGGGACTGTTCTCAGATGGTCAGGCTCTTGATTATCTCAATGGTGCACTCAGCGCAATTGCTAATGATAATGATTCAGTTTCTCAGGAGCCTGTGATGTCTAACAGTGATGACTCATGTGACAGTGAAGCTGTTATTTCTTTTGGCAAGGATTGGGGATCTTCCGTCAAGATGGATCAGGTGGCAAAACCAGACGGTGATGAGGAAGAGATGAAGCCTTGTGCAGAAGAAAATACTAACAATCTGTTGCTTCTAGGTGACCATCATCAGGATAGTAAAAGCCCCGTTAGTCCAGTCTTTGATACCTCTGATTCTGCTGGACAAGAGGATGTGAAGTTTAGAACTGATGATCCCCATAAACCTGCCAGTTCAGCTGTGGTCAGTAAAGCTTCACACCAGGTTTCGAGGGATGAAGAACATGTGGAGGAGGGGAGGCTGATGCAGCACGGACCTGAAGAAATTAGCAGTGAAAGTGGTATGCGGCCATTTAGTCCAATCTCAGATGACTCCAGTTCTGAAAACTCCCAACAAAGTGAAAGTCTGCTTACGCAGCAGATTCCCATTCCAGAACAAGTTCAACCCTTTCAAAGTGAGGATTCTCTTGGTTCCAGCAAAGAGCTGAAGCAGAGAATTGACAAGCTGGTATCCGAAATGTGCAGTTACGACAGTTCAGAAGATTCAGATTCCAGTGTGCCTGATGTTGCCCTGATCTCCCACGTAATCAGCAGTGATGAAAGCACTTGCATGGCACCGGAGAAAGTCCCCTCAGATGAGTTGAAGGACTGTAAATTGGCTGTCCAAGTTGTATTGGCCTCAGCTTCTCTGGACAACTCGTATTCCAGCCAGGGATTCAGCTACATAGAGGATCGCCTGGATTCAGATGAGATTATCGACCTGGAAAACTATAACTGCAGTGAGCTCTATGATGAGGATCGGCTGAGCCAGCTGATAGAGATCTCAAGTGATGAGGGCGATTATCTAGATCAAACTGCTGGAGAGCTGAATATAGACTTGGATATCAAGGTAAAGCAGGAACCAGAAGGTGATCATTATCAGCCCAATCGATCCAGTCCTTCAATAGTGTCTCGACCTGTCCACTCTTCCGGTCTTTCTGAAGATCCAGACTTCATCAGTGCTCTGCAGGACCACGAGGACACCACATGGTTTGAGGATGAGATTGAAGAAGAAGATTACCTTCAAGACCAACAAGAAGGATACAGAGAAGTGCAAGAAGTCGCTGAAGAAGTAGAGATGGAGCAAAGACAAGCAAAGCAAAGAAGGTTGGTCTTGGAGGAGGAGGAAGCCTTTATTGCAGGAGATCTGCCAGACATCAAGTCTCATTCATCGAGTCCTTTGGAGAATGCAGCTGCAGAGAGAGCCATCCAGGATCACAACAACCACGGATGGTTTGATGATGACAGCTCTCCAGCTAAAGAGAGCACAGAAGGTTTGGATTCAGAGGAGAAGTCAACAGATAACGTACTCAAGAAAGCACTGGATGACATTACAGCATTAGGTTAGTGTCATTGCTATTCAGGCTTCAAGAACAGATTCAAAGTTTTTCCCTGTGGTAATTTCTTCAGAATCAGGCTCTGTGGAACTGCTTGACTGCAGGATCCCACCTCAGCATACATATACATGGAATTTTTTGTTCCTTAAGTTAAACGAATGCCTGAACACAATTTTTTCTTTTAAAGCTTTGTATCAGTTTAACGACATGATAGTTCTCAAGGGTCTGTAGAAGATTTTGGAAGACACACCTGTATTTAAAATATCAATCTGTCATGGATGTGATAGCATACCAATTCCACAGAGTGTATTTGTGAATATGAAGATGCAAGTTACCTGTTCTCCTATATGTATTGCAGATAATGTCATTTTCTTTTATCAGAAGCTGCAACAGAAGAGGGATTGCAGACCGAATCACAACAAAAGGAGAAGGAAGAGAAAAGTTTGTCCCACAGTCGCATTAGATGGGACGAAAGCTCTGAATCTGGGAAGCGTCCATCCTTACCAAAAAGAGCAGCAGCTTCTTACCCTCCAAAATCCAGCACCGATGGGGTTGTAGAAGGCAGCTCTGTCAGTGAGCCTACTTCTTCACTATCCAAAGTGCAAGGTTCCTGGAAGCCTGGTAACTTCCACCAGCCAGAGTTCACCCCAGCCAACGCTGAACCACTGAAGAGATTCCGGGGCAGCAGCAATGAGCCTGAGCTGGTAGATACGTATGTCTTGGACAGCAGTCAGCCCAGACGGAGACCCAGGGCGGCCAGGGACGAGGAACGGCCCAGTACGTCTGTGCAGTCCTGGGCCAGCAGGTTCAGTTCCCGGACTGGGAGTCTGTTCCAGACGATGAAGGAAGGTCCACCATCTGCCCAGAAGGGAAATCAGGACAAGGATGTCACACCTTCAAAGCGAGTGAGGCACTCATCCGGCCCTCCTACTACTTGGAAGACTGCACAGAGTCTGGACACCACCTTGAAAGTGACTACACCCCCATCGTCGTATGTAGAATCATTACCACACTATGCTCAACCTGTTTATGCCCATGCAACTGTTCCCGCAGTGTCCCTCTCTCAAACGGTTAGTACCAGTACGCAAAGCTGTTCCAATACAGCTTCCATGGCTGGTCAGGCTGCTCCAATGTCAAATTCAGCTAATGGAGTGAACCTGAGCAATAATGCCGCATCCAGAGATGCAAACATACACGGGCAACAGATGATCTCTGAACTTGAGTCTCCTCTACCCCAAAAAGTGCCATCGATCTCGCAGCCACGATTTCAGTTCTTCACCTCAGATCCTCAAATGGCCGAGACTGCTGCTAGCCTGCCAGCTCTTGTCAACAGTAGCGTTTGCAGGAATTCGACAGCTGTGTCTTCCACTGCACAGACTGAAACTTCATTGCCCTCAAATGATGCAACAAAGACTTCAGCAGTAGCATCTCAGGCGAAGGCATCAAAGAAGGGAGAGCCATCCGGCTTGAATAGGGAGATAAGCACGGTTCCTGCCTTGTCAGTACAGCAGCAAGCTGCCGTACAACTCCCCAAGGCTGCCCGGTTCTCCATGGAAGATCTGTTCTGCTGGGTAATCGGTTGGAACAGTCAGTGGCTGGACATCTATGGCCCGCAGTCTGAGGGCCAGTCACCTTCATGTAAGTAACCTCATCCACATGCCGACAACATTTTGGTTTGATAAAAAAGGATCGGGCAAGAAATGTTACAGCATACGTTAGGACAGTGTAGAAGTTTCATGCGCTGAGCACTAGAAGATACTCCTTGTTTATACATCTCCCTGAAAAGAACTGTACTGTAAATGTTCAGCATTCTCCAAGCACTTTAACTCTGTCACTGTTAACTCTTGCAATGTCTATGATATACATGATAGGCAATACACCTACATGGGGTTTCTCATTAAGCAACCTGTGCTGAGGACGGCTGGGCAAAAGTTATTCAGGGCAATGGAAATATGGGCCCAGATACATGTAGCACTAAGGGAAACTGTTTAAACATTTACTCGGATTGGAAGGTTTTCAACATTGCAGAGAAAGGAGAGACAGATATACTGTTACATGTATAATTCTTGACGGAACTACACCTGTCGTACATGAAATGCACCACATTCTTTATGCTCAAGTACCCAGAAACAACTCTAAAATGCACACATCAATGAAATCAGTCACAGTAGTTCCAGCTCGGTCAGTTTCTGTTCTCAAGGACCGAGATCAGCATATTGGACCTCTGCAAGCTTCATAGCAGAACCACACAGCATTGGCCTCTAACTGTACCCTGTTCCATAATGTCATCCAGTTGAAAGGTAATAAGAGCATCAGCTCTTCAACGACCATGTCACTAGCAGTGCAGGCTGAGTTTGCTTCATTAGGTGATTTTTGGGGGTTTTATTTTTGTTTTTTGGTTGTTCTTTGCAGCGGTTCCTCAGGCTATTCTTGCAGATTGTCCCTACAAGCAGCTCCTTGATGTTCCGTCATCCTTCGACTTCCATGAAGACTACTTCAAGGTCTTTGTGCCTCTGCTGCTGCATGAGATATGGGCTCAGGTATAACAGCAATCTGTTTGGAGGTTTTAAACTGTACACCAAATGTCTATTTGGTCTGTTCAATGTGTACTGTTACCTATAGTTCACAGCCTTAAGGACTGCTCCTTCTCAAATTAGTTACAGAGATTTTATGAGGAATGCAAATTACTGTTACAAGTTCACTCTGGTCCTACATGCACGTCTACATTGAGACAGGTCTCAGCAGTTTTTGGAAGGGGGGATGAGAGATTACTTTACGTCCGTCTCTTTGTTTTGGCTTAAGGGTGTGGAAGTGGGAATGAAACATTGCCTACATGTAGGTTAGTATAGCTTTGTGATATTCCTTGAAAGATAACATTACAGAAATGTACCATTGGCTTCCTGCAAAGGAAATCAGTGAGTTTTTTAGGAGTTAGGAAGATCCCTAGCAATGGTAATAAAGGATTTAACCCTAAATGAGTGGCGGGTTGGACAGCTTCTGCCTCTGCTGATATTTTTTCTGATGCCTCCTTGGTACATTGAGGAGCTGAGCCTTTAGGAGATTTTAGAGTATAAAACTCTTTGCAGTAATTTTCACACTAATTTTTTTAATCTGTGCTTGCGCAGCACCCATTTTTCGGAGACAGGTCAGCCAAAAAGTATTCTTTATCTGTGTAGCTCTGTGCATGCAGGCTGCAAGTACCCTTGATCTTCAAATGATTGTAACAACAGAAACCTTGTACTTGTATCTGAATAAGTTCAAACGCCAAATGTGTAATGATAAGGACTGTCTTAACATGCGCTTCAAGTTCTAAGAAAAGGAACATAGCACAGCCAAGTTCCTGTTAGATAAATAACTCGGTTCTTCAAGGGTTAAGCAGGGCCCTCCTCAAAACCTATTTGCTTGTGTAGAATGCTGGAGAGGGGAAGGTTAAGGTGTTCAAAGTTCAATTGCATGCTCGATATGCAGACTTACCTGAGAAGATGCCATCACTGGGGGGCACACACATACTTGTTCGTTGTCAACTCTGAGTTATGTGTGTATATGAAATTGATGGCTACATGGCTTTAAAATCGTTTAAGGCATGTTCATATAAATAATGATTGTTTTAAATGTCATTATTTATCCAGCTGCAGAGTAAAGTTGAAGTTGGCTCAGCCAGCATTGAAGCAGCTTTTGTGGAGTGCAGACACAAAGAGCAGAGACAGACTGGGCTTCTGCTGAGTTGCACCTTCAAAGGCAAGTGCTTCATACACCTGTTGTTTCGGCAGGGTGTGGATTTGAATCAGGTTAAAGCAGTGAAGAAGTGGAAAATATTGTTGAGTCGTGGAGAAATTCTGAGGCAATCTGTGCTTGGATTGCCACTAGAGAATGCTGCTTTGCTTGGGTAGTTCTTGTGGCTGTGGTGACTGCTAACTCTGCTCAACTTGCTTGTAGTTCACTACTTGATAAGTCTGAGGAAAATTTAGGAAAAAGAGAGTTCAGAGGATTTTCCTAGAAAAAAACTTGTTCACGTTTGACCTTTGCAAGATTCATACCCTGGTCACAGAATCAGAAAACAGCAATGAGTGTGGCTACAATCTCCCTGATTTGAGGACTTGATTTTTTTTCTTCTATCGCCGAATTAGCCAAGGTCAAGCTTAAGCCCACTTTCCCCAGCACAGTGCCATGCCATCATTTAATGGCATTAAGTTACACTTGGCCTTTCACTAAGACACAGTCAACAAAAATGAGTTTTACATCACCAGAACCACTTTAAGAGAATCTTGCGCAATGGAAATCAAATGGAACCCATAACATTTTGCACCTGTAAACGTCCTGTTTCATCAGGATGCCAAACTAAGAATAATGTCAAAAAGAGCTCAAATTGTTCTTTCTTATGCAAACTAAAGCTAGAAACTTTAAAACGTAATAGCACTTGATTTGACACTCATGTAACTTGTTGCGCTTACTCAGGCCTGGCCCAAGTAATCAATCTTCCAAGTCATTTACTTGGGGAGGTATTCTGTAATAGAATGCAAAAACATGGCTACTTAGTTGAACGATAGGAAGGAGAGTTGTAAATTGTTCAGGAAAATTATTGCATGTAGGGGCAGATTGGCTCACGTTAAGTAAGTTAGGTGTATACATGAATATAGAGTGAAGGTGAGATACTTGTATATATACACGTATACGATATTGGTTACCAAATGTGTGACATCTAGATGAGGAAAATGGTTTTTAGTAAAAACATGATGACGAGCGACTTTTGTACATCGTCATATGTCACTGTCAAAAAATCGGTCTGACAAGCACATAGTTTGCCAAATAAACAGAACAGAATGGTAATATGGTGTCTGTAAGTGTTTACACCGGGCTTCAAATGAAGAAATATTGTGTGATGGCCGTGGATTGACTTCAGATTTCCTTGGACTGCAAACCGTAACTGTCGACAGTCGCGCTCGTAACAGCTGTACCAACTGGTGGAGACACGACAAAGGTCGCGACCCCATCCTTGTCTGTTGTAGGAAACATTTCATGTGCATGTTACCCATACATACTGGGTACGAGGCAGTGTTCATGTGGTTTTACTGGAACGTACACCAGCTAGTGTTGGCTCAACGCAGTACACAATGCACTCTCGTAACATGTTACGAACAGGACATGATTGCAGTCACGGTGAGAAAAGTCTGCAAATTTAATTCATGGCAACAGTTGCAGATTCCTTGGGCGTTCTAAATTTACAGATGGCTTATTTTTAATTGATTGAGGCAACTGAGCAAGCTAAAACTTTTGGCGGTGATAGAGCAGCATCATCGTGTACGTTTGTAACCGCTCAGGACACTACGTGTTACGAACGTTACTATAAACTAAGATGACAGTACAAAATACACGATCTGTCAATTATTCAACTGAACATACGTAGAACCATTCAGAAAGCATAACATCATCAGACACAACCAAAACAAGTTAAATGACATTTGTAACTGTCATTACAAACTTTTTAATTCATTATTGCCATGTCATATTTTGGTGTCTCATCTACAGCCATTACCATCATGTTTAGTCCTCATAAAAATGTGGTGGTTGTGTTCATGTTAACAATATTTTTGCATTTATAACTTCATGTATTGGAGTCCACATTAGATACATTTCTTTTGGGACTACACATCCAGATTGTTTTAAGCAGGTTTTTATATACCCATTCTCATGTCAATCGTGTGGATGTCTGTTGCTTTCAACAGTTTAAATTTGTATTACATATTTCATTTCTTCATGACCATTTGGCCCGATTGTGCATTGCATTGTAACCTGAGATTGTTCATGCTTGCATGCATGCTTGCCTAAACCTATGACGACATCACGGATAAGCACAAGAGAAGATGCCGAACACGCTGTATGTGGAATCCAATCAAATTTTATCTCTTGGAAACAGTTCAAGGGGCCAAAGCAACCTGCCCTGTCAGCCCGCAGGATGTCATTAAGGTATCCCCAAGTGAAGAAGACCCAACCTGTAGTTGGTGTCCATTGCTGGCTGTGGTGACAGATGTGACCCGCGTCGTCCTCAACACCACAGGAGCAAGAAACCTGAATCACAGTGAGTTTGTGAACTGCGTTCACATCATACACGGGTTTGGTTTGCATAGATTTGTGATTAAACCGTAAGCCCCCAAATCCCTCAGAGTTTGTCAGAAAGTTGCGCAGTATTTAGCAACATTTACAGGCCAGTAACTTCTGCTCCAACAAGGAGGTTGAACAGCTATATAGTGTTGTAGATTGCCAAGTCAGTTGATTTGACTTTGATTGTGGTTGGTTTTGAATGTGATTTGATTTTGATTTAATCTAATATGAAAATGATTGGGTTTATCAGAACTTATTTAGGTCTGGTCTGGTTTGGTTTGGTTTGGTTTGGTTTGGTTGGTGTTTGGGGGGTTGGGGTTCGGTTTCTTGTCTATTGCAGATCTGTTCTCGCAGTGGTGACACAAATACTGATGTACATGTAAGTACAGAATTTCTAACCAATTTTGCTGGACCTCTTTCAGTCTTTTCTGCTTTGCAATCTTTGTGCAGATGCATCTGTCAACGTACAGGGCCTACCACGGACTGAGGAGAAACTGTTTGAAGTGTCAGTGCTCATTCTTGCCAAAAGTGAGGAGATTTACCGAGCGTTGTCTGCTACCACAGGACACAAAGTTAGGTTGAAGGTAATGAACATCTAATGCTTAGATTTCTCGGACAAAACATCAGTAATCCAGTCAGCAGAAATGCAGACATTCCCTCCAGGACTTTTACTGGCTCAGTTATTCAGTTGAGGGGCCATTCAAAATTGTCAATGTTTTTACTTCAAATTTTCATTTCCAAATGTGGATGAGTTGGTCAAAGGAGGTAATTGAAAATCAAAATTCAGTTTCCATTGAAAAAAAAAACACAATCTCTCTCAGCTCTTTTCAGTTGAATTTGGTGAAAAGACTTGGGCCAAGGTCAACCCTGTTAATTACATTGAATGGCAAGTCAGTTTTTCCACAATGAACATTCAAGGATTGTGGATGGATCTCAAGTTTTAGAACAAAACCCCAAATGCATCAAACATTAATAATTTTGATTAGCCCTCGGTGAAATCATTTTCATCAAAGCATCACCAAAGGTTTCGTCAATTTAAACTATACTCTGTGATCCATTAACCATTTTCAGGTCCTCCACTCCCTGGTGTCGGCCATTCACCAGTTCCAAGGCCTGATATCCCTCCACAAGTGTGGTATCATAGCCTCAGACATCCTGAGGTTCCGACGTATGGAAGTCTTCTCGTCGGCATCGAGCAGTGCACCATCAAACATGAAACCGGTGAGAAACCAGCCTTAAGAGGCTCACCAGCCACAACAAACTCTTGATGAGCTAAAATTGAGCATCTGAAACTTGGAATATTCTCATCAGCAATCAAGGGCAAAAATTTGACAATTTTTGGTGTAATTGTTATTGTCTTTTTAAAGTGTAGCACTAAATTTTAGAGCATTTTGCGGACTCTACGGAGGGAAAGAAAGAAAGTAGCAGCTGAAACCTGTTTAAAAAAAAAACAAGTGCACTTAAGTGTGCCCTTCTTGGGCCATTTGCCACCGTCCCCCAGACCTGCCAGTGTTAGCAATCAAAGTTTTGCCATCCTGCATCATCTGTCTGTTGTATTTGCATTTTCGTGTTTAAATGAATATGTCACTATTTTTGCCTTGTTGAATAAGGAGTTGCTGAGTTTGATATGAATATGACAAAAATCATAAAAGCTGTTCTATAGCCCCTTCCGATTAACACCACGACATACTTTCATATTCTCGGCATGTTGCAAATGATGTTGTGATGTGGATTCCTTACGTGCGTGTCTTAAGAAGTGATTATAATTACCACAGTGGGATTGATGTCTCAATACATGTACCTCTATTCTGTGGCCAGAGGACTCAAATCAACAGAAGCGTCAGTTTTAAAAAGTCAACTTTACCCCCCTTATTGTCACTACATGAGATGCCAAGATCATTCAAAAATATCTTCGGTTTGTCCTCTTGCATCAATCTCCCGAGATCCTTATCAATTATAATTACAATAGCCAGCTACGCTATAAGCAGTTTGGCAGGCCATGGGCAGGAAATTGATCTTTTGTGTGATAAATATTGAGTGTGTATTGTGGTATTGTAAATGTCTCTGAAGCAAGTTGGTTTTATTTTTCTCATCTTGTGAAGCAGGACAAATGCTTGAACCCCTGTCAGCTGCAGGCAGTCAGCAGAGCGTCCGCTGCTGTTGCCATGTTTGACACCCTGCCCAGAATATGCCTGGTGAACGGGCCGCCCGCTACGGGCAGAACAAAGACGGTCATCCAAATTGTCAAGCAAGTACTGAAGGTAATACTTCTAAAACTACATGTCTTTATGTTGAAATGGAAACGAAGCTCAGCACCCTCCCCGTTTCTCAGTAGAGGTTCTTCTAACCAACTGTTCTGCATTCAGCAGATAGTGTGGAAATGCAGAGGTGTCTACAAACAGCCATTAGGTGAAATCATGTTCGTTGCTGTATTAAACTGCAGTGCTTCAAAAATTTGGCAAGATAGTCCTTTGACGTCCATGTTTTCCCTCACATTTTGTTCATTCGTTTGTAGAATCAGGCAGCCAAGCAACACCAGCAGTGCCTTCCAGGCAAGCGTAACAGCAGGTCACAGGCAAAGCCGCCCCCTGTTCTGCTCTGTGCCCCCTCCCACACCTTGGTCAACGTCTTACTCAGGCAGCTGATGAGGGAAATACCCACAATGTTCCCCTATGAAACGCAGCCCAGCGACAGAGGTACAACCCCCTCGACTGTCAGTGCACTTAGGTCGCTTAAATAGTACTGAGTAATTTCAAATGCTGAGCAAAAAGCAGCAGTGAACCAGTCATAGGCAACTAATACAGTGGAACGCTGCTATAACAAGCACCACTGTACCGAGCATTTGGGAATGCTGAACATCCCCCAAAGCTCCCAAATTTTCTGTGCACTTGTACCAAACATGACAGTTTTGTTTTAAATGATAGAAACATGTTTAGAACTGATGATGATAACTCAGAGTTGAGGAAAATTACATTCATGAAGGAAAAACTGCCAATAAGTAGTGCTTTCTGTACATGTATCGTTCGTGGGTGGCCTACATTCCATGTACCACAGGTGGCCAGGTGGACTGGCTGCCGAGTACGTTCATGCAACTCTGGAAACTCTGGTGTGGAAAACTTTGAATGATTATCACGACAGAGCCGGGAAATTTGACCTTGGAAAATCACCAAAACAAAAAATAATATGCAAAAAGACACAACCATATGTTATTTACATGTAATCCACACAAATCTTTGATAAATATTTTGGCGTTCCAAAACACTTGCCTTATATTTCTTTGCCAACTCTGAACATGTATGCACCTAGCCTCGAGTGCTGTTGCCATGTATTAAAGTGTTATTTTACAAACAGGAGCCAGTGTAACCATTCTACATATCACATGCAAATTTCAACCAAGGAAAACTTGATTTCATTTTGTGATTTTACTTGTAGTGAGGACTACTCAAAAGGTGAAACATGAAAGGATATGAACAAAATGCAGGAATTTGAATGTTTTTTATTTCAAACCTTATTTCTTGCGTAAAAGTGTTTCCACAAAAGCCTGAAACAAAAACTTTTATGGACCAAGTGGCACATGTTTGAACATGGGCCAGAGTTAGGAACGGGTGCATGCATCCCTGGCTGAAAATCATTATACCCAATGACAGCTTCGCTGAACATTTTGTGGACCCTGTTGTGTTCGTAATAGCAGCGTTCCACTGTACATCATGTGCCATTTTTGTCTGGTAATCGGTTTATACTTGGCAATGGTGTTCTGTGTTAAGTCAATACCGGTGCTCATCAGCCTATAAAAGAAATTGATCTCAGCTGACCATGTGCTGAAATTCACTGACTGAGGAAGTTGTTCCGTTACTTGGCAAGGATAAGATAGAAGTACATTCAACATTTGTTACCTACTCTGTGCAAATGAGTTACAAGTCACCTGAACCACTCATGAATTAAAGGCCTTTTAAACAAATCTTGCAAAATTTAAAGCAATAGGAACCCTCAGCATTTTTCCTTCACAAAATGTTAAATTTCTTCAGGATACCAAACTGAGAGAGACATCTCAATGAATAACTCAGATTAATTTAATTACAACAGGTTTTGCCCTTACCTGATGTATATATTTTTATTTTTATAAACACTGTATACTCAGTACTTGTCCGAGAGCTTGCGTCAAAAATTCAGAAGTTTACTTAGATGGGACTTGAACCCACGACCTCCTGCTTACTAGTGGAGATGTCTTAACCACTCGACCACCGAGCTTGCGGGGTCGGCTGGCCGGTCCGAGTCAGAAAAAGCAGCAGGTACCGCGAACTGTCATTCAAGATGTACTTGAAGCACTGAGTGTACAGTGTTGAGACATATATACATCGAATAAGGGCAAAACCTGTAATGAAATTAACATCTCCCTGACGCACGTACATCTTGAAAGAGCTCAGTTTGCTCTGTTGAGAACAAACTAAAACTCAAAAGTAGCTCTGGCAACTTCCAACTTACTTTCACAAAGCGAGTTTCATTTGTGAATTATTCTGTACATTTGTTACACTAACTCCCCAGCATACATTCTCTGAACACCTTTTGAATGGGCACTGTCTTGATTTAAGCACATTTAACTGTTTCTGGGTCACTCGGTGCTCCGCTCTTTCCATTCCTCCAAAACATTTTTGGTGGATTTGAAGGATTTTGAAAGTTTGTGGAAGAGGTGAAGTTAACACTTGTTATTATTAATGGGGATAGGTCCTGACCCCACACTTGGTTGTTAATAATGTTTCTTGCCAGGTGCGACCAAACGTTACCATGTGGTGCGAGTGCACGGACCCTCTGCTGTAATCCACGACAGCGTCAAGAAATTCAGCCTGGACAGCCAAGTGGAAGCCCAGAGGAAACAAGGTCAGATGCACCAACTACCGACCCATTTCTTTGAAACATTTTTTTGTCACCAGAATCCACGGTGGACATAAAGAATATGCTTTATCCTGTTTAAGAAACGTGCAGTGCTGAACTTCTTCACGGATACATCTTCCAAATAACTGCGATGGTCACTGATGAAAAAAACTGGTCTGCACTTGACTGCATAACAATACCTTAGTCTGTTAGTGATCACATCTGCCACGGAATTCCTGCCAAATGTACTGCATTTACAGTGTGATGATGCACTTAAAAGATGATGCATTCTCTGTCGTGCTCCATTTCTTGGGGGATCCACTGTTTCACAACGCTTACTTACGATTGTGCATTCAGATGTTGAAACTCAAAAATTTCAAACCTTTGGTCTCTTGTCTTGTATACTGTAATCTTTATCAGGGACTGTTGGTCATTTCCCAGCATTTTGACAATTCTGTGGACATGTAATGTTTAGTTTAAGGGTTCTGGTGTGATACTGATAGGTTATTTGCATATGTGTTTCACTCACTCTTACATTTGGCTGATTAAAATTAGTTCCTTGTTTCTCATCACTCAAAGTTATATTTTTGGGCTGGGAGGACCTTTGATATTTGATATTTCAAGTTAGTATTTTTTAGGCTTTTCAGATAGTCTAAAAGTACCTTTCTTGTATAGTACTTTAATACTTGAGTGTTCCATATATCATAACGGCATAATCTGATCAATTGGTCATGGTTTAGGGCAAAAGACTAAAGAATTAAAAAAGACAAAGACCATTTTTGTGGTACAGACACATCTAAAAGGTTGAAAGAGGCCGGAAATTGGTTAAATACATGTAGTTAGAAATATCAAATATCAATAAAAGTCCGGGTGGTAGGGAAAATCCAGTTGGGCGGTGATGATAAACAAGGAACTTTCCTTTGTTCTTGTGTACTAATAATTTAGTGTATGAAGCGCAGTTTCCAAATTGCTCCCATTTGAACCAGACTTTCTTTCCTTTCCAAGTGTCCCTTACTTCATTTTGCGACCGATAAGTATACCTTGGAAATTCCTCCTTTTTTGAGTAAGTTCTTGTGGGGTGCTGTTTCTGTATACCACCAAGACAACTCAAGTCTTGTGCCCGTGCCGTCTTGCTCAATTTTCCAGAACCTGGACCACTATTGGAAAGCACGCCATTTCTTGTTGACACACATACAGTACATTCCAATTGAAAGTGTACCTGGGAATGTGCATTTTTCCACATAGACTTTCCCATTCCAATTCACAGTGCTAACTTTCAGTTGCAACATGCTGTAGCTCATTTGCAGATCCAGCAGATTGGCTAACAAACACCAGGCGTTCACTGAAATTGAGAATTGTCTTTCATTTTTTTCCCCTCTTTCAATTTATGCAGATGTTCACAGGATAGATCTCAACCTAGAACGTTCGACAAAGAAGAGAGAAAGCCTGCACAGACAAATAACAGAGCTAGAAAAAAACTGTGAACTCCACAACCACAACAGTAACAAAGAAGAGGTAACAGTGTGTGAAGAGAATTTCAATCATATCTTATGTACTGACTTGACTGTGCATTTGAGACAAACATGGAAGTCTCTAGCCTCCAGGTGACAGTTTTCTTGCTCTGCACTCTTTGTGCAGAGAACTTCAATCATATCTGACTTGACGGTGCATTTTACACACTGTAACATTGACGTCTCCAGCCTACACATGTCATGATGATGGGCATGATCAGTCAATCTGAGTCCATTGTGTTGTGCTGTCAATCAATCCTTAGGGTAATATCAGACTCCATTTTCCCACATACCACTGCATACCATGGAATGCTACTGTAACGAACACCGCTTTACAGAACATTCACTTTGGCTCCTGAATTTTCGGCGAACTTTTGCCAAACATTAAAATTTTGTTTTAAACAAACAAAGCATTTATATTTAGAACTGATGATGATAACTCACAGTTGAAGAAACTATTTTTCACGATGGAACAACGGCCAACACCTGGTGCAGCCTGTGTCGTGTGGGCAGCCTAAATGCACATTGTATGTAACATGCCTGTGTGTATAGGTGGCCATGTAGACCGTCTGCTGAGCATATGTAACATCATGAATCACTGGCGACTCTGCAGAAAACTTTAAATGATAATCCCTACAAAGCTGGAAGAGTTGACATCAAAAAATCACCAAAATGGAAAATGAATGTGCAGATAGACCACTGCATCTCTTAATTAATTCCCAGAAATTCTTCAACGAATTTCTTGCTAGTCTTAATAGTTTTCAAAAATGCATGCATGACTTTTTGTTGCTGATGGCTGACATGCATGTCATGCTACTGTATTAGAATGGTTTCCGACGTGGTCCATTATTTAAGTGCCACTTTACCAACAGGAACCAGTGTAACCATACTTCATGTTGCATGCAGTATTTAAGTGATGTCTCAAGGAAAACTTGATTTCATTTTATGATTCTTCCTTCAGTGAGGCCTTCCAGAAAGCTAAAATGTGAAAAGAAATTATTATTCATAGAACAAAATGCAGGATCTTCTGTGTGTTTAGTTTTAACTTAGTATTTTGCATGTAACTGTTGGCCCTAAATTCTCACAGAAAAGCGTGTTGTAATGGGGGCCACCATGCATATGAATGGGCCGGAATTCAAAACGGTCATGTGCTTCAGATCTGTGACTGAAAATCACTTTGCCGAATGACTGCTATACTGAATATTTTGTGGGGACCCTGTCATGTTGGCTATAGTGGTGTTCACTGTACAAAATGATCATTCAAGGCCATGAGTAAGGAAGAAAAGAATCAGCCGATGGCAGAAGGAAAAAATGGCAGATTGTTCAGCAAGATTATTCCCCTAAATAGTATTGCATGATTTTGGGCAGACCGTCACATGGGGTTTGTTAATTAGGACATTGTCTCATATGCCAAGAATGTCTTTTTTAGTTAATCAGAGTGCAGCAAAGAAAGAAACAACTGATCAAAGACCTGACTATTAACAAACTCAAACTGGAGGACCAGAAGCGACAGAGAGCCGAGCTGGAGGGCAGGCCCAATGCCATCTACGAGCGGGCCATTCTGGACAGAGCAGACGTCATCTGCTGTACTGTCAACTTCACTGGCAGCCAGTTGCTGCAGGATACTGGCTCTAAGGATGGCGCACGCCAAAAAATGAAGTTCTCCTGTGTCATTGTGGACGAGGTATGAACATTGCCTGTCCGGTACTCAACAACTAGTCTCATTTAGCTCCAATATTGGGCTAAATCAGTCCTCCCTGAGGACTACATTACATGCAATTTGGGTAAAATATGCTTTTTTCTTGTGTCACATTCGCTGTACTGTGGGTAATTTTAAATTAGATCAAAATCTAAACAGGTTGGTTTAAAAGTAGCTGATGGTTGAAAACCAGTTGTTACTTTACAAGTTGCAGACTTTAAAAAGTAGCTTGGGGTCTATCAGAAGCTGGTGTTCCATTAAAAAGTAACTGGTGGTCAGAAAGTAAACCTCAAAGTCAATAAGCTCCAAAAACTTTCATGTTGTAATTTTGTATGTGATTACGCTTTCACATGCTTGGTCCCTTCATTCATGATTGGACTCATTTGACTTCACTCAACCCAACCCACCCCAACTTGATTTGACTCCCACCAGACGCAATCTTTGAGAAAAAGGAACAAAAAGATGTACCTGGGCATCAAAATGAAACTACACTGCACTGTGGTCTATACCGCTCTAAATATTCACTTTAAAACCTAAATTTCTAGAAACAAGAGGAAAGGATATAGATATAAAAATACATTGAATTATAGGAGTAGATTTTCAAACAAACTAAATGAGGTTGCGTAAAGATGCCTGGAGACTATTGAATTAATATTAAGACTCGATTGAAGCTGTTTTGGCAGGTGAAGTCTTAGGAAGGCAGGCATTGGTGTAGAAGGCTGCACTCTGGCAAATATGTGTATGCAGTTAAAGCCCAAGGCAACAGTGTATTGTCACCCACTCTGCTGGCCTAGTTAAGAGCAAAAGATCTGTGTTACCAAAGCAGGCATTGCCACATCTACCCACCCCCTCATCGTTCACCAAGTCAGTTCTTGCCTTGGTTCCTTCCTCTCCAGGCCAATCAGTGCATGGAACTGGACTCCATCATCCCACTCCAGAACTGCTCCATGAAGGTCGTGCTGGTCGGTGATCCCAAGCTGACACGAGCAACGGTCGCCTCCAAGGTCGGAAAATGCATTTGCTGTTAGGGGGAAAAAATACGGGCTACCAGTCAAAATTTTTCGTGGTTTGTATACAGCCTGAAAGTTGACCCCTGGTGTCGCTCTTCCGGAACCCTTGGATAGGAAAAATAATATGCAAAGATTTTAGAATTTGTAATAGTTTTTGTTCACTTTTTTCTTTAAAAATCCTGCTTGAAAAAGGGCTTTGAATAATAATTGCTTCTACATCAGTTTGTAGAAACTGAAAAATTGCCTAACCTAAAAAATAAATATTCTGCCAAAAATTGTCCCATCACTTCCGAAAATCTCGAATACATGAAGAACAGTGTAATAGGGCAGTCTCGTACGCAGATGAATATTTAAGGTTTGAAATTTTATGGTAGTTTCTGGGTAAAAACCAAAATTAAAAACAGATCAAAATATTTTGCACATCTTAATCATTTATAAAGTACTAAACATAAAGCAATATTCTACTTTTACGAAAGGTTCTAATATTTTATTTAACCTTTGCGGACAACAACTGCATGATGTCAATTCAACAGAATCTGCAACCCATCGACGGCCGGTAGGTAAATCTTTGCAAGGTTGTACAATCTGGTTTTGAAGAAAACATGGCGAGTGAAAACAAACGTGCATGAACAAGGAGACTTAGGTACGATATTGCCGGATGTGAAAGGTCATTAATAAAATTAGTTTTTTACCCATCTCCAGGTGACTTTTCCCAAATATTATTTGAAGAAGACAAAGATAAAATTCCAACATGAGTGTTTCATGGGGTGGTTTCAGTAAGGAATTATTTTTTCAAAAATTATTGAACGTGATAGGACGGCCCAATGTAAAATCCCCATAGGCAGACTTCGCAAGGGTTCCGGAAGCTCGTCGCGTGACCTTCTACTTTCAGGCTCTGTTACCCTGGACTGGTTCATAGCATGTGCGCTTCACATGAAGTTGGTTAGAAAAATCTAGTCCCAAAGCTTCTTTGTAAGAACTTCGGGTGATGCTTCACAGCCTACTGCCAATAAAACCTTATCCGAATCACGATGTTACTTCTGGCAATAATGTATGTGTGTATTGCAAAGAGATGTAGTGGCCAGTTTGTGGCATCATAGGGCATGTAGTTGTTCCAGTTGCAGCCAATAGATTTGCCTACAGCCATAGGACACATCATGGTGTACCTACAAGTTTGTGCTTTGTAAGGCACCAAGAATATTAAACTATGCACTGTGGAGCAAATCACTCCCATTTTCATCAGACTGAATGAACTTGTAGCACGTTCACATGAGAGGTTAAGACATCCAGGAATGGCGAAATTTCATTGTCATTGCTAAATGCATGCTCCTGGCAAAGTTAGAATTTAAATTGTATTACACTTGTTCCCATCAGCACAAAGTTTTGGCATCTTAATAGTTTGACAAAATGTTTACTGTGAGCACAAAGATTT